GGCAGCGTCCGCGTTTCTCCATCGGGTGATTGACAGGCCTCGGTAAGGTTTCAGCGAACAATTGCCCCATAAGCGAGGAACATGCGCCAATTGTTTCGGAGGCGCGCCCTTTTTTCGGTAGCGTTCAGACGGGGATTCTGTTTCCCGAATCCTAGTTTCGCGACACAAGATTTGCAACAAGATTCACCGTGTGAATAGACCTTGCGATGCCGACATTCGCTTACCCGACCCTGCACAGCCTGTTTCTAAAATTCAACGCTGCCGTTCCATCCAGCGCGTTGGTGGAACGACTTTTAAGCTTGCCTGGGGACGTCTTTAGGAGGAAAATGGGAAAACTCTCCGATAAGAACTTTGAAAGTCAATTGCTTCTCGAGCAAATAAACTAATCTGGGGAAAACGCAAGCCATAAAATTACTGCATCTATTTTTGTTTCTCAGGGTTTTTCACGGATGAAAACTGATGTTCATTTTGCTACCACAAGATATAAAAAAGTAACTTCGAAAGTACCTTCAAAGTAACTCGCTACTTTTTACAGTAGTTAGTTGTTTACCAACTACTAATAAAAATTTGTAATTTCTACTCCCCTCCAATTACGTTTGGCGTTGATACTCAGTAACTTAACTACATTTTTTGAGTAATTTGTACATGTCTGGCTGAAACGGAGTATAGGTACAAGTAGCGCGTCACCTGTAACACGCTACGTGTGCAAGTCTATGCACTTCTTACTCAATATATTCTGTCACCCGTCAAATGATGTATTAACATTTCTTTAGAGGAAAATAATTCAACTGAAAGGTGCTGTTCTTATTTTGGAACTATTAATGCGCGATTATGCCAGACTTTTAGGAAGATGCTGTATTTACTGAAAGCGTACACAGTAAGCGAACTAAACGTGAGAAGAGTATTTTTATGCTTTTTTTTATTCAACTCGCCGTTTTCTTTACTTCAATATGTATTCTAAGAAAACCCTTATCCTAAAGCAATTTTCGAAAATATTTCTGAAGCGTTCCCTTCATACGTCTAATAAACTTTATCTTCAGGGTAATATGTTTTGCCCTTGGCGTGCCTTCCTATATGAAAGCGGGGAATTAAAATTCTGTTATTTGTTTTGTTCGAAAACGAAAGCAGTACAAAGCACCATGGGAAGTCAGGCCAAATTCTGCACCTTGTGATTGTAAAGCTCATATCACTTCGAAAATTTCAGCTAAGACGTTCTAATCTGGCTAAGCTACCGTCTAATCATCAAGAAGTCACCGATCTCACTAAGTGTTCGGCGTATGCGTGACACCGCAATAAATTTAAATTCACTGGCAGAAGACGGCCGTGCATGCGAGGGCTCGTGTCGTCTCCTACTCCACACGCACAGAGCTCCAGCAGGGTTGTCGCACGTGCATTTCTCGATGGATTGCAACAGTAATGGAGTAGTCAAACAGGATGGTGTGATAGGCCAATTAGTCACAAGCAGAACCAAAAATATGTTAAGGGCAGATTGTGGCACATAATTGTTTGAAGTTTGCCTTGAGAAATATTTATATCGGACATACTCTACCAATTGTATAATTGAAAAAGAAACAAAAAAACACTTCCAAAACAAGCTTCAATTGCATTTATACTAGTCAAGTCTATATTCCCGGCTACAATATCTTTAAACATTCCGGGTGCAACCACGGGAACACCGAAAATCTCTTCCTTTTAAAAAGAAGACTGTTACCCTCTATGACAACTTGGGTTCCACTGACGAATTGGCACGTGCCCGCGGTAAAAGTACATAAATCGTTTGCCAATAACTTATTTACTCTATATTAAAAAAAATACTTTTGATTAAATAAAGTATAGCAAATTACGTTTTCTCAGCCCTACCTTCCTAACTAGGAAGCTTAAACCACCAAGCCACACGTGTTTTATTAAGCCAACTATACCGAAAAACAATGTATATATTTTCACTTTAAGGATGAAGGAACTGGAAATTTGTTTCTGGAAACGTGTCGTCCAGTTTTCGTCCTCTATGTCATTCTCTGACACCGTCCCCTATAAAAAGAAGTTGCTGATAAATAAATAAGTTCCGAAAATCTGAAATCCAGATAAATTGCAGATAGATTTCCAGTTTCACAATCGAAATAGCGAAACATTATGCAGGGTTTTTAAGTGGGGAAAATTTAGAACAAGCTAGAAACTCAAACAGTAACTTAAGAAATTTCTTCTTTACTTAACGAACGCTCAATCATAGTCAAAATAGCACACAAGAGTGGAAGGCACTGCAAACTTTAGAGGGCCAATGTTTTGTTTAAAAATACGCTCACACCATTAATACAAACATCTAAACTAGAAACCAAAATTTCAAGACAATATTTTTTCGCGAAGTTCTTGATATTTTAAATTTCGTCCGACGGCTAAGAGGCTCTTCTTGCATCACTGCAAACGTGACGTCAGGTGTTTTGATGGGGGGTAATATGGGGTCAGTACAGTTTGTCTCCGATAGGTCATAATACTTTTGATGGTGCGAAATGGATGACGGTCAAGCTTACGCCTGCAAAACAAAACGTTCTTGCGCAGAATGCGGTGTTTTACTGCCGGTTCGACTTCTAAATAATGCATGTGACATCGCCCAATGAAGTTGGAAGGAAACTTCTCTTTTCTTTTGGCATGGATAGTTTGAATTTAAAAATAATAAATAAAAATGCTGGGAACAGTAAAACCTGGGTATTGCAAACAGGAGCAGCTCATAAAACCTCCGGACACTTTAAAAACATATTTACATGCAGTGAATGACTAATGTCAGTAAAAAGTGTCATGTGTGAAATATAATCTGCCAAGTGTGTGGCTTAGAAGATTGTTTTCAATGTATATATATATTAAAGTGTCTTGATGTGCTGATTTGTTAAAAGTAATCTTTTTTTCTCTGTTTCACTGATGTTGATATTTTGTATTTTATTCCTGTTGACTTCTGTAAGGGAGCTGATGGTAATGTACGAAAACAATTTGCCTTTATTTTCCCCAGCCTCCCAGATACATTCAGTCGCCTCAGCGACTACGGAATTCTGATCAATGCAGCGAAATGCGAGTTCGGCGTTTCAGAACTATCATTTTTAGGTCACCACGTAAACCACCTTGGGACTCGCCCATTACCCCAGCGAATCGAAGCAATTGAAAAATTTCCACAACCTCTCACTACCACGAAGCTCAAAGAGTTTTTGGGGCTGGTAAATTTTTATCGCCGGTTTATCCCCCGCTGTGCAGCCATACTACAGCCAGTTAACAAGCTTCTCGCAGGGTCGTTGCGCAAAAACGAGCACCTTATTTGGACAGAGTCAGCTAGCGCCGCGTTTGCAAACATCAAAAGGGCGCTCGCGTCAGCAACACTGCTGAGCCACCCGCAATGTGATGCACCGACTTCTATCATGGTAGACGCATCTGACACTGCAGCAGGCGCAGTACTACAGCGATTCCAGAACGGTAAATGGCACCTCATATCGTTCTTCTCAAAACAGTTTTTACCTGCGGAAACAAGATATAGTACCTTCGGAAGGGAACTTCTTGGATTGTATCTTGCCGTAAAATTCTTCCGCCACGTCCTAGAAGGTCGACAGTTTTGTATCTGAACCGATCACAAGCCTCTGACATACGCATTCAAATCCAACAATTCTAATCACGTCCGGGTCACCAATGTTGATGCTGGATTACAACCAGAAGCAGTGCGAACAGTACAGATAATATATTTACATATTTACAAGAACCTATAATTAAAGATTGCTCATCGGGCGGTTTGTCGTTGGAACGGTGTCCAAGGCTAGCTCCCCTGTCCGTGCCTCACGTGAATTGCGTCCCACGCTGGTTCATGGCACGTGTGTCTCGGAGCGCTTTTCTTTCACGTCGTTATATTTGTGCTTCTACACATTCATGTTTAAATAAACCTAGTACTGCTATAAAGCGTGTTTTTAGGCTTCACATATTGTTATTACATCTGAAAGCCGCACTAATAGAGTTTGTACGGTCCGTTATACTGCCAGAGGGGCATAAGACAAAGAAATGTTCGTCACGATAAGTCGATTAATTAACTAAAGTTTGTTAATCAAGTTTTTAAATAATAAAAAAACTAATTCTGTTTATAAACATGCGGAGCGTCGTAGAAAATTACAAAATCACAATTGTTGATATGGAGCACGGGTCAAGCGCGTTGGTGTGCTAATGATACAACTTGTGCAACAGGCTCAAGGCTGGGTATTCAAAAACGCGAATTATAATTACGAGATGTTTCCATCTGCTTTTCGTACAGCCAACCATGTGCCCGTTGCACGAATAGTAAATGTAGTGCACCACTGCGCTTCCGACACGCCTCATGCTTTTATAATGATTTAGTGATTTTCGATGACACCTAGCAAGTTACTAATTGAAATAATATGAGGATTTTTCTAAATAAAATTTAGTTCGCAAATTTTAGTTCAATAACAAAGTTTTTTGACAAAGATACCCACATATCATGTTCCCCTGACCGTATAATTTCCTTGTAGAAATCGTACTGGGGTTGCTCTCACGGCATTCAATTCAAACATATCTCTAAACCATAAGAAATACCTCGTACAATCAAGTGTTTTTCGCAATATATAGTTTCCAAAAATATGTCGCAAACTGCCGTCTAATTGTGTTCCTACGCGAAACATTCCTACTTTAGCGCTAGTAACCTCTGCGCATTTCTCCTTGAGGTGTGCCTTCAGGTGTCTCCGGTACTCTACACCACATTCACTTCTCTCAACCAAACTGACTTTCCCGTCGAGTCGGCATGTGTTCTAAGTGTATGGCGAATGACAGGCTATGGCCGGTTACGGGTACAAGTTTTGTAAAAAGTAGTAAAAAACTTCTAGAGTGCATCATGAACCAACTAGGCCAACAACAAGTTTTAATATACATCTCTGTTTTGACGTGGAATCACCCAGAACTGTCATAAAGCAAAAGCTCTTATTTTCTTTTAATTAATCCACATGTTATTTTTATCATGTTACCAGGACCCTGCCATGAGTGGCTCTGAGATTCCCGGAACTTATCCGCCCTTTGATATGGGCATAGATATGGACATTTTTGTGAAGAACGAATCCGGAGGAGTGGTGTATGGAAAGGTCAGCAGCGCAGATTCTTTACGCCTCTGTGCTTTCCCACGCGAGACAGATTTTGCGCTGAGGGGCCAGGACTAGTTAACGAAGTATTCTGATTTAAAGCAACGTGTTGGTGTTTTTCATTTTTTTGTCAATTTATTGTCTAGTTTAATATCTCATATCATAAAGAGAGCGATGAATCTTGCTAATGGGATCTTTTATAACTACTTCAAATAAAGGAGTTATGTATGATAAATTAACTAATTGTTGTGAGTTATTTCAGATTATTCAGATTCGCCTACCCTAGTCTTACGACAAATATTTGACCAATTCATAGACGGTTTCCCTTGATATAGCGTAGTTTATTCACGATTATTCAGATATTATTGGGTGGTCAGTTCGAGACTGTAATACAATTTTGGCAGATAACTGACACTACAGAAATCGGTGTATTGGTTCGGTATCACACGTAATTGGTAGGTATACGGTGGTTTATATCTGCAGAAAGGTGCTACGAAGAAATTAAAAGTATAAAATGAAGAAGAGTAAAGAAGAGTAAATGAAGAGTATAAAATGAATAAGAGTAAGAATGAAGAAGAGGAATTAAGAGTAAACAAGTTAGTGACGTCCGGGACGTCCAAATTATTAAATAAAATTATATTAGGTGTAGAGATGTTTTGTTCTCTTGCCATACTTTTTGCTTGGCCTTGTCGCAGATTCATTGTAGGTTAGCAACACTTTCAGTTGAGGATCGTTTTGCTAGACTTTGAAAAACAGTTAATGCAGAGATACACAAAGAACGGAGTTGAGAATGAATGTCCTTCAATCGTCGACTGGTTTCGTGATCGTCAACATTGTTCCATTGTGATCTTCTTGTTTGTCCTAGTCAGCATATTTCTTGTATTTAATATTTCAAAATAAAATAAAGGGATTTGAAGAAGTAAACTGTTTGGCCACTAATTCTTGCCTAAATGTTTCATCCAAAATTTTCATAAACAGCCATTACTCAAAACTAGACGACCTAACTGATAAGAAATTTGTGTAAGATAACATCGCTTATTGTAATGATGTTTGTTTTGTTTTAACTAAGCTATAAACACAGATGGAAAAAATTTAGATTAAAAAAGTTGAAATATGAGTAGGCACTTGTGAAGGCGTGTCCTATGCTACGTATTTGTAACCCTTTAGCGCTTCTCCACTCCTTATTAGAAACTCAGCAAGGCAACGTCATTCTGAGTCAGCGTGGAAATAGTAGATTATACGATATACATTCTCAAAAACATATTTTTGTTGAAGGTATGGAATGACAAGAGCAGCGTCTTTCCTGACTTCTCCCACCCAAGGGCCAACGAATACTGGGGTTCCCTGTTCAAGAGATTTCACGAGGTTGTGCCCTTTGACGGAGCTTGGATTGTAAGTTTAATAGGAATTTGCTTTAGTTAGCTGACTGTACAGTCCATACCGCTTTATTTGTTATATTCCTTTATATATAATCCGGCGTTCCTACATGAGTATCAGTCAGGCAACCTCTGCTAGGCGATATTTTCAAACACCCAAGAGGCAGCAATTGGTGGCATGCTTTCCGGTGCGTTTGGACAACCATTTTGAATGTCTTACAAGTGACTCCCTTGTAAGTGCGGTTCGTATTCAATCATAGTACTACTTTCTCTCTTTATCATTTTAAGTTTGATTAAATATAAAGTATGAACTAAATACTATTTAGGGAAAGGCTTTATACAAATATATTGTTGCGAGTAATTTGTTTTTTAACAGATGACCTGAGATAATTTTGATCAGACAAGTTACACATTTTGTTCTTTATCGTAATATAAATTTCGCATAAAACGTACATTGTCCGTGCGCTGCTCGTAATGTTTTGCAGAAATAGTAGTAATAAACTAAGATATTTACATACATAATATTTACGCTTTTTGTAATCCCCCTGCTGTGTTTATTTTCATGTTGTATTTTTTTTTTTGCTTCACCACTCCACTCTGTAATGCTTCGGCCTTGAGAGTAAATAAATGAAATGAAACGAATGACTAGAACAATTGCTTATCACAAATATTTTTTATATATATGCAAGAAAATGTGTGTCGTTTTTATGCTTCGGGCTGCTTGCATGCCTCCGTTTAAACATCAATTGCTGACTTCGTACTTTTTGATCAAAATGTACCACATCGTGCACTATCTGCATGAAAAAAGGTCACAGAGACGCCACAATATTTAGTATCAGAAAATACATTGGTGTTGTGCTATTTTCGGAAAATATATTTTAGTCTTAGGATTAAGGAAAGCTTGGGGCTGTGTGACTGAAGCAATCAGCAGCCCTGTTTCTTTAAGTAAAGCCAATGTTTGAGAGTTTGCATTTCGTCGAAATTTGCTGGTGTTTATTGGTATGGATGGTTCATTTTAATTTAAAACAATGTAATTGAACCGTGTAATAATTACAGAAAAAGATGAATTGAAACTCGAAATTTCAAGATACCTTTGGACAAATATATGCGGAGGAGCTTGACTTAGTCCGGTGCCCCCGCAAGTACAGAACCTGGTACACTAATTTAAATGAAACCGCACTATATACAAATAAAATGAGACCACAGTTTTGTTTAGTTGAATGGAATATGCATTACGTCGGTAATAAAGTTGCAAAGCAGTATAGGCAGAAATAGGTTATATATAGTGCATTGAGTTCTTAATTAGTACGGAAATGATGAATAATCCAGAATGTCTTCCGTTGGATAGCAATGATAGATTCGATGCTTACCATTTTTGAAAGACTAGAAAAAAAAAGCAATTCACTGCACACTTGAAAACAAACGCGAACACATAAAATTGTAGTCATAGACACTGATGATACCTAACATTGTCTCTAAAGATAAATACATCCGCATGAGTATCGCGAAGAACATTTTCGATAAAACTATTCGCTTTGTTTTAAAATCAACAGTTTTTATATTAGTATAAGCCATATAGCCATATAGCAAACAGTGATTTGTAAGCCAAATCTAGCGAGTTTGGCAATTTGAGCACCTGATGATACAACAAATTAAGGGTACATTTTGGAGATTTCCAAGCACTGAAACAATTAGGATTCTCTAGTTACACATGTGCTGCACATGTCGGCGTCTGCCGAAGTAATCCTGAAAACAATAACTAAAACAAGTTGTTCCTGTTACGTGCATTTTGTAAACGCTCCAGTTTTTGTTTCATTTTGTTTTTACAGGTAATATGAGAGCCTGCAGAACGTGTGAACCCCACCATGCTTTTTTTAAAAACTTCAAAATTCTCTAAATACCATAATTTTGTGGGACTCTCGTATGCGAAACACCTCAAACTTTCCCGTCACTGTCCATGTGATGAGCTTAAGCCTTCGGACTTAAAATGCAAGATTTCTCAAAAACATACATATAAATACTGACTGCAACATTATTAGAATGAACAGACCCCGCAATCCTAGAAAGGTAGGATTAAGTTTTTTTTTTTTAATTGGGGGGGGGGGGGGTAGTTTTAAGATAAATGTCTAAGCTTTATTTACTAAATTTCTTAACATCACTGACCCTTTCGCGTTCTTTTTCGACCGCCCAATTGCTTAATGTTTATTTCTCTTTTGAGGGTTGTTTTTTATGTCCATTAAACCAAATACGTTCAGAGACAGTGTAACCACTCAACGTTTTCAACAATGTGTTTTTTCGTGGAATTATACCAAATCGGAGTGATTTTTCAGGGTTCGTTCTTAAAAAGCAAAAATATTTTCTTTTAATGCCGTTTTAGATAAAATATCAGAAACATCCATTTGAGCTCATGCAGCAACCCACTCAGCCGCGTATGAGTAAAAGTTGGTAACCTAAAAGAAACAAGTCAGATGCGATATTAGTATAAGCATAGTGACGTAAGTTGTCTTGTAATGTACCTGTAAGAAAAAACTAAATTTAGCCGTGAAAATGAAATCACATGAGTCCGTGTCACGTCACCCATGGACAAATTACAGTTTCTCCTCAAGATTCAGCGGGAAACTTGATATCACGTGACCTCAACACCAATTAAATTTTTCACTAAATCTAGCGGGGTTATACGCGGAAACGGGCGCCTAAGAGCTGCACTCTAATGCTCTAATTTCAACGATGTGCTTCTACAGGAAGGGCGGGACGCAACATGATTTTCAATTCTTACATTTGCATGCCTAATATTCAAAATCATTTCAAAACCTTGACCACTTTGTTTTAGCGCTCCTTCAATACTGCCCTATTGTTCCTGTAAGGCACAACCGATGAGTGTTAATACTTCCTTCTAGGACATGAACGAACCGACCAACTTTTACGACGGCCACGCCGACGGTTGTCCCCCAAACAACACACTGGATTATTCTCCCTACGTTCCTGGGGAGAAACCTTTGTTCGCGCAGACCCTCTGCATGAGCGACCGCCACCACCTCTCGGCCCATTACGACGTCCACAACATCTACGCTCATCTGGAAGCCGAAGCGACGTACACGTAGGTAGACTCGCACAAATTGTCACATTTTATTATAGACGCTTTTCAAGATCCGGTAGATAGTTTCAGAAATACGCAGCACTTCCATCGCTCTCATGACGCACTACGGCGATTTGTTATAAGGCGCATGTAGCAGTGCCCGTGATAAGAAGGAACAGTTTAAGTGTGTTTGAAGGAAACTAGACAACTTTCTGTATTAGTCTATTTGTGAACATAGCTCAATCTATGGGCTGTAGGCCTCCTAAAAAGCGAAACAAAACATTCTTGCGTGGCCGAGTTTTCTATTAAAATCGGTACTAAATATGGATTACCTATTGAGAACTAGAGTTCCTGTATAGCTCATGCAGCAACCCACTCTGCTACCTAGGGTAGCAGAGTCGCATGTTCATTCTTGGCGGTTGACCGTAGTGCCGGTCTTTCTGCACGGCCCTGCATTCTTTGCTTGTCACGTGGCTGAATTCGGTGAATAGCGGTGCCGCGCACGCCGCCGCGTATGGAGAAGAGGAAAGGAGGAAAATGAGACAAAAGGAGACATGCCGAGTCGCGTGCCACATCGGTGACGGGCCGTATCGGTGGCTTTCCCGCACGGCGCTGGATCTTTGGCTCCTCACGTTATTGGCCTCGGCAAATACCGGCGCGGCGGCATCAGAAAAAGAGACGACCAGCTCTGGCTTCCTTAGGGAGCCCACACAGGAACTCTAAGGAGAACATCTTCCTTGCTTCCTCTTGTCCGATGGCACCATCTGGGGCCACCGATAGGTCGGAGGTTATCGATCTGCGATATTGATTTCAGTACAGAAATCGGCTGCGCATCAATGTAATGTTTTTTGTTTTGTTTTTGGGATGTTTGGAACCCATTACATGATCTTCAATGGACTATGGCAGAAAGGGGAGGGGTTTAATACCCCTTTAAGCATTGGGTGATTTCAGAACAGAAAGAAGTACAAGGGAGTTTTCCTAGATAGTTTTCGCCGTCCCGCAACGGTCTCCGCAACCCGCTAGGATACCCGGAACTCTACAGCCAAGGCCTTTGGTGCGTAGGCGCAGTAGCGGCTTCTTTGTTGCGGAGGGCTTAGCGGAGGGGGAAACGCGGTCTACGAAAACTCCCTATGTTAACAGGGTACGTATCGGCCTTGCGACGCGGATTGGTAGGTTTTCTTCGTGTTCTAAACTCGCAGTTATGAGAGAAATAAAAATACACTGCTTCCAGAATTTCCGGAGCGTACCCACCTATATCGGCCCCGGGTGTGGTCGTCGAGTGTCCTCGCGAGAGTTTTTACAAAGGTATATTAAGTAAAACTGGTGGTCTCCATTGGTTGGGCATGCTGTGTGTGACTGAATCCGAATCCTCGCCAACCGCTGACGTAACACTCGTCCTCGATACAAGCTGAGCCGACCTCACGCCGAATCCCGACGGAGTTGTCCTATCCAATACATGCCGAGACTCCGTGCCCGACCGACGATAGTACCGGATCATTGGCGCAGCAGCCATTAGGATCCGCACATGTCCCATAAGGGCCTACTGTGCTTTTCGAAGGAGGAATGTACACCGTAGCTGGTTACTAAGACGGTAAGCTATATGTAGTAACATCAATGTGACCCTTTTTAATTACTTGTAAGGGTTGCAAGACTGACTACGTTGCATTTTTGCCGTGTGTACTAGGTGCATTCTCTTTCGACAGAAGAGTCGTATTAAGCTTTTCATTTATAGTGTTTTTCTTTATTATTTTAATACGTTTATTTTCCGTACCCGAACAGTGAAGGCCGGGGTGGGAACGAGGCAAGGTTTTAAAAAGTTAGCTTTCTTCGAATTAGAATACACCCCAGGCCCTACTAAACAATAACAGACATGTGTTAGGGCTATTTTTTTTTTTTTACTTTGTTTTATTCAAGCCCATAGAATTTAAGATCACGTTTGCTATTTGCTATTTTTTTCTTCTCGGGAGCAGCGGCTTCGAAATAGAAGGGGAATTTTAAATACCTGCCATGACTGGTCTTTACCCTGCAATGGTATACAGACAGAGCTGCGGGGTATCATATCGAATTACGATTTTCTGGAACCACTAATACGCATGTATCTGTGCCTTGACATCAACTTAAGAAGCGACCCATTGCGTTTGTTCACGTGAGGAAACTTTTATTTTATATTCTGAGAAATGCGTTTTCTTGCGTGTTAATAGTCATTTCTACTGCTCACAGCAAGATCCAGTAGTCGGTAGTTCAAGTTGTACATTTTCTCAGTCCTTCCGGCTCCAACGTTCGTGGAAATAAAATTACCGTTTCCAAATATTCAAACGCAATATATTCAGCATAAAACGAGTGAAACACCCAGCAAAAACGACTACTCAAAATCGTCAAATAACACCTTCAGTGGCATATATCTAAACAGAGCGCATTTATTCGTTAATTTAGTTTTGAAGTCTCTATTTTTATGCGCCGTGTCCCACCGGTGGATCATGAGGAATAGAGTTTTAACAATTCTTGTCGTCGGCTTTGATTGTTTGATTTGGCATATATTTGGCATCCTTTTGGTGTTTTGTCAAGCCTATTCCCTCATGTGTTTCCTAGCTTTGACTATATGCGGAAATTCGCGCCCTATAATAGCAGTCTCCAACGTCAACAGGCATTATACCTGTGTTTTGCTCTAGTTCAGCGCAATGTTCGACGCCATAAATTCTAAAAAAAGAACGCTCTAACTGGCACATATGTTTGTACATGTGATTGTAAAACGTTCCAACACTAAGCAATATTTGCTTTTATACTCGAGCACCAAGAGAAATGTGTTTGTGTTTTCCCATATGAATGCACTACGGAAGTCACATTTAGACTGCTTGCCGTCTGCTTCAAAATGCAACAGCACACTAGCGCCACCTGAAGCTCTAGCGTTCATTGTTAATAAATCTATGTCATGAGGCATTTTCTTTATGTGCGCAGTGAGCCACCGGCAAGTCAGGTCAAGTAAACTTTATTGAGCCTTTATCGTACAAGGGGGTCGGACCCTTTAAGGTCCGAGTCTGGTACAATATGTAAACTTAGCCCAGGGGAAGGGGGAAGGAGGAGGATTGCTGAGAAATGTTATGTGCTGGAGTTGTTCCTTAAGATGCTCGAAAAGTTCTTCGGCCCTTTCTATGAGGACAAATTGTAATTGCTTGTCTTCTATTTCAAATAAAGAGGTCCAGTGCGAGACCATCGTGGTTGCGTTTTCTACTATTACGGATTTTAACATTTCCGGAGGAGCAAAGTTGGGGCACTCCCAGAACTTGTGTTCGAGGGAGCCATACTGGGGTGTGTCTTCAGGGCCTGTACATCTTGTGCAGATACCATCGAAAAGGTGCGGGTAAATCTTGTGGTAGCTCCGTGGAATTGGTATGGCGAAAGCTTGTAATCTTCGCCATGTGCGTGCTTGTTGGTGGTTGAGCTCCTTGCGTGGAGGTGGGAGTGTTCGTCTTTCGTCCCTGTAGGCTCTGGTAGCTTCACTGAAGGATGTGTTCAAGTCTTCTGAGGGTGGGGCACCGTAGTTGTGTTCTCCGGAAACTGTCCATTCGGTTGCGACGTCGTTTCGGTTCGACAACGCTCAAGACGCCATTGAATGGGCGGCTTCGTTTCCAGAGTGATTCGAGTGCGCTGGAACCCATATAATTAACCCGCTGTGACTGCTTTCTCGCGCCACTAAGAGATGGCGTAAGAAGCCTCGCGGTTGGTGCTCTGCGCGGGCTTTTTAAAACTTACCAAGCTATCTCGGGGGTGACGAAAATAATTTCTGGAGGAGGGGAACAAGAGGGACAAACGACAAACACACATCTCCAAAAACACAGCTAGGTGACTTGTGCGCGACCGAAAAAATCCGCCTGGTCCGGGTATCGAACCCGGGACCTCTCCATTCCAAGGATTATTTTCGTGATTCCTGTCCAGCTCGCTTGCATCTTTGAATTTAATTGCATTATAATCATATCTCGGGGCCTCTTCGTGTTACTCACCGCTAAGCCGCCTCGCACCACAGCGCTTCCAAAGACGTGGGATGCGAGCCTTAGGCCTGTAACGCTACGAAACGAAGAACCCGTTCAGCGCTTCCGGAGTAACGTGCCTGCAACAGTTGGTTCCTGCAAATTAGGTCGGTTGAGGAGATATCTTTCTAAAAATCTCGATGAACGCAGAACGAGACGCACTCCTAAAAATAAAGGAGCTCCATCAGCTATGGTCGTTGAGCGCGCTGCAAACGCCGGGAGCCATGCTTGTTACCGTTTGAAGCCGAAGCGGAAAGGCAATCTCGGGATAGATCTGAAAACAATAATGACTTCATCTATATTGCTTGTTTCTCGAACATACAAAAGCAAAATAAATGGACGATACGAATACTATTACGGCACGGAGAGGCAATTTTACAACGTACATTTCACACTATGATCTCTACAACCAATCAGAGGTGAGAAAATGTGCTTAGTTTTCTACGCTCGGGGTGAGGCCTTGAGCAGGACCTAAATTAAATCTGATGGCGCAAACATTACTCACGATATATTTTTTAATTAGCAAAAAACAAATTTTATGCCGTTAGAATTTGCTTTCTTTTAGTGTCATTTTAACAAACGAATGTGTATATATATTGGCACATAAAAATCTTATGTCATTATCTTTACAATATCAAAAATAGTATTGCGATAATATACTCCCCCGTCCGCCTACTGCTACTACTACTAATAGTTATGATATACCATTCTTAACGTTTATTTTGCTTTATTTATTCAAACGGGCATTAGGACAAAAAGCTGCGACTTCCGCTAAAAACGGAAAAATAATAAACTTTATTAGTTATAATGAAAAAAATATATATGTAAAATCGACTCTGGGTATAAAACAAACAAACATTCTATTTTACGCAAAACAAAACGATGCGACCCAAAATTCTAAACAAATATCCTATCCTACCTATAAAATGGTAACAAAAAAAAGCGAAACTACATACAAAGGAATTGACCACAAGAAGATCTAAAAGTGTAAAGGTAAGCCTTGTTTGTTGTTGTTGTTTTTACGTTTCAGTGCTCTGGCGGCAATTCGAGGAAAGCGGCCGTTCATTATTTCGCGGGCGTCATCGACGGGTATGGGTGCATGGTCGGGCCACTGGTCAGGAGACATTGCCTCGTCCTGGGGGGACATGCGGCTAACCATACCAAGTAAGTCAACAAGGAGAATAGAACGTGTTCTATCACTGAATATGTTTAAAGGCTATGCATCATGGGAAAATCACTACGCTTGAGTGTAATAAAAAAGTCGTGATACACAAGACAAGGCAAGATATAGTAACATAGCCCATAGTAGACAATGCATATCCGTAAAATGTATTAGAAGGCATAGTCACAATTAAGTATACGTAACCGTAATTAGTAGGGATTTCGCAAACGTTTTGTAGACCTGATGTTTGAAGATCAAACCAAGGGAATCTAAAGGTTCGAAGTGTTACTAACCTTCGAAATTTTTAGATTAAAACCTCCACAGTTATCAAACGTTCAATTGTTTAACACAAAATATTTTTTTTTGGTAAGAATATATATATTTTTTTTTTAATTTTTAGTGTTATTGCGTTTATACATTAGGCAATATTTGACAGTTGCAACTGGAGAAAATAAGTTTAAAAACTTCCAACTTTCAAACAAAAATTCGAAAATGTTTGAACTAAATTTACCCTCAAAGATTTACACTTTGCAGTCGAGTGAAAATTACGCTGAAACGTCAGTTAGCCGAGTTCGCATGTTCTTAACCTGACCGCGGCACGTCTAAGAGGCGCCGTCCATAAAGTTAGTGGTTTTTAAACGTATGTACCCTAATCTACTGAAGTAAGCAGCTGCTCAGAAAAGGCGCGCAGAAAGAGCGGAGCCGACGCGCGACAATGGACGCTATATCAGCCCTTTATTAGTTACCTCCTGGTAAATAGCACTTGAGTAGTTGAAAAATACTGAACAGATTCAAATGAAGTTTTTACCACCACCACCATTATCCTCATTCGCTCACTCGTTTTAAAGTCTGCAAGGCGCGCCACCACGCCCGCGCGCCGAGTTCCAATCCTACAGTGCCCCGCCGGGAAATGCGCGAAACCCGAGTGGGATTTCGACCGCCTTTCTGGCCTCCACTCTGACACTTCTTTCTCCTTTCACCGTGTTTGCGGCCACGAGGAGGAGGCTAGCGCAAGCGAACGCAGCTGGATTAAGTATGCCTCACTGGAGCCTGCGCGCTACCAGGCGACTATAGCCGCGTGGAGCTCTTTTCCTAATGACGATGTGTAGATCCCCATACCATCTGACCAAGTCGCTGGTTCTGAATAAATATAGATATGTCTTGCTTTAACGGATAAACCTGGAAAGCTCACGATAGCGCCTTGAATTCAACGTAACCGAAAGCAGATAGACATCCACGCAAAGAGGCATTATGAATCATAAGGCAACAGCAATGCCCAAACGACTGTACTTTCCAGTTTCATCAGAATGATCCAGACAAGTGTTTCTACGCATGAAAAAGTAGAAGTCTGGGTTGATTTTGTATTTTTGTCTGCTCTCGTAGCCACAAAGAACGTTCACAGATTTTCTGAAAACGGCAGCAGTGGCAGAGTTGGGCAGCTGCCAAGTTGATTTCGCTTCTCGGTCTAGCCTCGTCGCGGCGTTTACTCAAGGCACGCTTCAGCGTGTCCCTGAGTAGCGCCACGACGTTCTCAACGCGTAGCTCCCTTTAACTGTGTAGACCGAAGCGTCTACACACCGAGTTGCGTCCCAACTCGGCATGTCTGAGATGTCTTAAATGGTTGTGGGGTCTTTAATGGGAATATTTAATGATTTCAGACTACCTCCGTACCTAAGAAACATCTGCGAGTTTCCGCGTACGTCTAGTTAGCAACACTGGAATTAAGAATTCAATTTCAGTTTGGTGTGCGCGATGAATAAGGTGATCTCATAATTTCAGCCGGTGTGTTTTCAAAACACGGTGTATTTTATTTGCAAAGCATACCAAAGTTACCATTAACAACACCCATGACTGAGCGAACAATCTGAAGGAACGCAAATTATGAAGAACTTTCTTCATAAAAAGCAGTACTCTAAGTAATTAAAATATGGCAACCAACCAATTCCTAAACATGTAGGAGCCCTACGTTTCGAACCGACTCGGTTCTTCGTCAGGAGCGACTGTGGCCGTTGAGGAGCGGCGTTTTTCGATCTTTTTCTTCTCTCAGGGATGTGGCGCATTTCTCGATCTTCTTCTTTCACTGAATATGGCAAAGCCCGTTCACATACACTGTTGGTAAAGCCCCAAGGCACCTATTTATGTTGCCTGGCGTCGTTTGAATATGCCAGGACTCGATGAAAAGCCTATGTCGGTTGTTAGTCTCTGCGTCGATAATGCTGGTGTTGTCGATGTCAATCCGGTGGTCTTTGACTTCGCTTTGCTCAGCGACTGTGCTGCGCTCGTGGTTGAGCTTGCGGACGTCGTTTTTGTGTTGGCGTATTCTTTCATTAAAATTCTTTGTCTCGTCGATGTAAGTGGCTGGACAATCTGCACAAGGGATCAGCAACTCCAGCGACTTCGTGGAGCGCATCTCGAAATTGAAGGTGAACGCTGAGGAAAGCCTAGTCTCTTTTGACGTCATCTCACTTTTCACAAGTGTGCCGGTTCCCCTGGCAGTTATAGCTGCCAGGAAGGCTCTCGATAAAGACAAAGACCTGCACAACAGGACCGCCCTTAGTGTGGAGGAACTGTGCCGCCTCCTTGAGTTCTGCCTTAGCAACACCTACTTGAACGTCAAGGGAGAGTGTTTTAAACAGGCCAGCGGAACCGCCATGGGCGCATCTGTCTCCGTTACAACGGCTAACCTGTGCATGGAAGCCATTGAGGAAGAGGTCCTGCAGTCATTCGCCACTGCGCCCAAAATATTTGTGCGGTTTGTGGACGACTGCTTCTGCATCCTTCAAAGATCTGAAGTGGACAGATTCCTCTCACACCTCAACTCCATCGAACCGGCTATCCAATTCACAGCGGAACTTGAGAAAGACAATTCCTTGTTTTTTCTGGACGTACTCGTGAGAAAAGAAAAAGAAAAGTTGAAGTTTTCAGTCTATAGGAAGCCCACGCAGACTGGACAGTTATCTCCAATTTGATTCTATCACCCAGCCTGCCACAAAGCATCGGTGGTTAGGACACTGCTGTCTAGGACGAAGGCTATATGCTCCTCTGATGATGACAGAAGAAAGGAAGAAAAAACCGTCCGTGCTGATCTGAGAAAGAACGGATACACGAGCACCTTCATACAACGTGTTGCCCGTCGTCAAGCTCGCGATCAAAGACACCGGCAATCACAAGCCTCTACGCAGCCACGCTTAACCTCGCGCATCTGCGAGGTTGGGCGTGGCTGTGCAGATTGTCCTTGTGCAGATTGTCCAGCCACTTACATCGGCTAAAGACATCGGCGAGACAAAGAATTTTAATGAAAGAATGCGCCAACACAAAAACGACGTTTGCAAGCTCGACCACGAGCGCAGCGCAGTCGCTCAGCACTGCGAAGTCAAAGACCACCGAATTGACTTCGACAACACCAGCATTATCGACGCAGAGACTAACAGCCGACATAGGCTTTTCATCGAGTCCTGGCATATTCAAACGACGCCAGGCAACATAAATAGGTGCCTTGAGGCTTTACCAACAGTGTATGTGAACAGGCTTTGCCATATTCATGAAAGAAGAAGATCGAGAAATGCGCCACATCCCTGAGAGAAGAAAAAGAAGATCGAAAAACGCCGCTCCTCAACGGCCACAGTCGCCCCTGACGAAGAACCGAGTCGGTTCGAAACGTAGGGCTCCGACATGATTAGGAATTGGTGGGTTGCATATTTTAATTATTGTATTCCCCAACCAGAGAGATTTCTCTCAATTGTTTAGTTTCAAGTACTCTAAGTAGGAGTGTGAGTGTGTGCGTGTATGTGTGGGAGAGTTGGATACCAACCATGTTGATGAATCATACAGACACTATGTGGGCGAGTGAGTGGGTGTTTTTTAGACGGGCTTCCAATCATGCATGAGAAAACAAAGTATAGAAAAGTGACTTTACAATACAACTGCACGCTGTAAAAAGAACAAAAAGAGAAAAATATAACACGTTTTTACACTCTACACCTGCTTAGAAAGTATACGTGATAGTTGTATTTGAAAATACATAAACGTTTAACAAATAAGAGACTGATGAAAATTTATTACCCTAAGCCACATCTTTTCTTGCATTGGTTCTCAGATAATATGAGGCACATTGTACAAGTTACCCTGAAATCAAACATTTACTCCACGGCATCAACGTAAACAGACAGCAGTTTGTTTTCTATTGAGTCCTTTTTCTGGCCTATAATTGCTTATCATTCAATCCTATGGCCAGGTTGAACGCAAAAATCACCCATACTTATATTTCTCTAATGACATCACTTTCGACGATTAAAAAAAAGTCGCATTTATAAACAGCAGTGTATTCGCCAAGTTTTCTATAGAGCTCTTAAGGAAAGTTTGGTGGACGGCTGGACATACACTCTGCTTCACGTCAAGTCCCGACAGCAGCCCACGCTACGATAGAATGTAGCCAATCAATCGGCACCAAAAGCGCATCCTCACGGTACCCATCCCCCTTTGTCTACTTACTATAACCGACTAAACCAATCACTCACTGTGAATTCGTCGCGGTCCCGCGTTCTTTTTTCCTTCCACGATTTGTTTTAGCCGGCTATAGGGAATTCATAAGGACAACAAGCGCCGTGACGATGCACTTTTGCCGCTGATTGGTTGACTCCGTCAAATCGTAACGTCGTCTGCGTTACAACCTGGAGTGAAATGGAGCATAAAAAAGTCATAGAACAAAATGCGGCAATATAGTCACAATCGTAAAACTGATTACCAGCCGATTTTCTCCAGTTGTCACTGAAAGCTTAGAAACTCAGTGTACGGCTTATTACCTTCACGCTATTTGCAGTCTTATTGGTCCTTCGGCCTTCTCTATCGGCCGATGCAGCAACCTTAATGGCTACGGAGCCATAACGAGAGGCTCGAAACTAACCGAACCCTGCTTTGGTCTACGGCTGTCAGTGGCGAAAGTATTCCATCCCTTTTACCACCAAATTCATTACACGTCCTCTGTGATGGTTAAGTGCAAAGTTTTGTCCTGTAGTTGGACATTCGTAAGACTCAACTCGATGTTTTCCTCGGCATCACATGCTTCCTCGCACTCCTTTGTTTCAGACATGCTGAGCTTCGGCATGTACGGCATGCCACTGGTGGGTTCTGACATCTGCGGCTTCCGCGGCAACAGCTCTCTGGAACTCTGCGCTCGATGGCATGTCCTCGGGGCTTTCTACCCGTTCTCCAGAAACCATAACGATTACGATTGTGTGGTAGGTAGCGTGTCGACAGATAGTCTTCTTAACATCACTATAAGGGGGTATTACGAGACGCGAATAGTCTATGCGCAATCAATGCCGGACGCAATGTTGATGAAATTTTAACCAGTGTCGCTTTATGCGCTGGAACAGTGCTTCCTAGCGCAATCGAGTTTTTTCTTGCTAAGATAGGCTGCGCCAGCTAGAGTTGTCAGGAACATAAAGAGCATCGGCTGACAATCTGTTTTTATGCATAGCGGTATTTATGCAAATTCAGGCCGGTGCCGGCTATTACGATATCGACCCGTCGGACTGCCCAAATGGCCACAGTAGATACCGCCAGGGTGACTCTGGGAGAAAACAAATGCTCTATAAGCATGAGTTTATGCGTCCCAAATACTCCCCGGTCGCACTTACTGGGTTCTGTCGTCAAGGGGGCCACTTTCCATGCTCGTGAGTTTCAGCAACGCCAAAACCCAACGCCAGTAAGTAACTTGCTAGATGCCGTCTAATACGGAACGTGGCAGGCGCTGCTCATCAACATGGGGGTGCGTGGCTTAACAGAAGTGAAAAGGCCGTTCGCGAAACCGCCCTTTAGTATATTCGGCAGTTTCACAAAGCGCCCTATACAATTTAAGAAAAAAATGGTATACAGGGGCACACTCCTTGTCCCATATGTGACACCCCAAAACAACAATTCGACGTTCAGTCCACAGACGTCGAACCGACGATAACAACTTTCAAGAGCGGCTTGAAAGTCGACCAATACAACTTATTAAAATAGCTAAAGTACGTATTAAAGGCTATAGTGAAACAATCAAGGTTTTTCTGGCCCTGCTGAAGAATCTTAATGTTTATGTTTTGTAGTCTTTGTACGCTCAATAGCTATTTAGTGCGTTATATCTAACAGCTATCAAGCCGCTCGTAAACGTTAGCATCGCCAGCTCGACGTCAGTAAACTAAATGTCCAAATGTAGTTTTGGGGTGTTACATGTCGGACAAAGGGTGTACCCCTGTACACCTCCTATTTCTAAGAGTGTAGACTCTAGGCCAGGGAGTATTCACTGGCGGCCATAGCTGACTCCACGGCTGCATGAGCGCGAGCTGACGACAAGCTTCTACAGTATGTTTGCAACGTACATTTTACACTGTCAGGATTGCTGGTTTTACGATCTTAAAAGTGTGAAACCGTTCTGAGCATGCGCAGTAAACCCGCACTCAAGTATGTCGCCCAGTTAATACCCCCATATTTCAGTGAATGTTTGCTGAATTGTTTTACAAAACAACTGGTTCATATTATGAAATCTGCTATGACAGGACCAGGATCCTTACAGCATGGGGCCTCTGGTTATTGAGGCAGCTCGTACCAGTCTACGGATGCGCTACTCCCTCCTGCCGTACCTCTATACGCTGTTCTACAGGAGTCACGTCTTTGGTGAGACCGTCGCCAGGCCCCTCTTTTTTGAGTATGTATTGCTCTCTTTCATTTTCGCTGCATCAAAACTTTTCAAACACACGCACTGCACCACGGTGGAAGAACAGAATATGTCTGAAGAAATCCCCGATGGGCCTAACGCCAGCTATGAGGTCTGGAGCATGATTATTTCTGCTCATATCAAATGGAAATAAGAGCAAAGCTAAACTCTCAAGTCTTAGGATGTAGATTTAGGAATGTGATGACTAGGCTTCCACGGGCCTTTTGCTTTTACGGATCATTGAACTTGTCGCTCGGTACTAATAACCTTTGACATGAGATCAGAAATAGGAACCATAAGAGGGCTCCACCGAAGCAAGTCGTCGCCAATTTTGTCAGATTAGGTTCGGTCGCCCGAGGCGTGGTATTGAAAATGTGCGCATGTGTGCACGATTGCTCCATGGCAAGGAGGCGCCATTCAGACACCCGTTTTCTTCTACCGCGCTCCAGACTCTTAAAATTTCTCTTCGCCTATACTCTGCGGCACATCATCTGGGAGATGTAATCTACAGATCGCAGCAATTTTATGCTTTGTCATTCGGCTAAAGACGAGACTTAAAACATGTTTATAACAAGAAGAAATAGTCTGCGCTCTGGCACTGTCCGTGACGTTCTACAACATACCCAGTGCACCAACGCACACTGTATAATTTTCGCGCTATACCCCGCTTCGTTTCAAATCCGAGCGCTGACGATGCTACACCGTTCTCATTTTCGCGTATGAACAGTTGAATCTACGTCTTCCTAAAGATGTCTGACCACATTAGTGGCCTGAATTGAATTCACCAGGCTTTTTAAGGACAGAACTTCGCGTAAATAACATGACTTGCGGTGATTCATTCCGCTTGAACGCCACAGAATGAACTATAACGCCTGATTCACATGATACGATTCTGCTCGCTATTAGAGCGGTAGCTTAAAGGCCTGTTAAAATTGGGGTTGTATGGATATTTAGACAGCGTGTAGTTGGTCAGCCATTTTAAAGTTGCGACGAGTCACTTGCTGCAGATGAGCAAATTAGCGAGTGCAGTACAACTGCTAGGCTGGGATAGGGTGCCTCAATGTCCTTCTGTTTAGGGTGATGCCACCCTTTGTAGTACCCGATGCCGACAGCACGCGCTCACGGGGAAAATACAAAGAAATCAACGAAAACAAAATGTCGCTATAATACAGTCAACGCCACAAACACGTGCAGGGCCACGCTCTTTCACGCGCTTCTGAACAAAAAACAAAAATAAACGTGTGGGACAAAATGGCGAGATGCCACCACCCTAAGCAAAGCGCACATGAAGCCACCCTAGGCTGGGGCTTTTAACCTAGGGTGCCTCAATGTCCTTCTGTTTAGGGTGATGCCACCCTTTGTAGTACCACATGCCGACAGCACGCGCTCACGGGCAAAATACAAAGAAATCGACGAAAACAAAATGTCGCCGTAGCACAGTCAGCGCCACGAGCGCGTGCAGGGACACGTTCTTTCGCGCGCTTCTGAACAAAAAATAGAAATAAAAGTGTGAGACAAAATGGCCAGATGTCTCCACCCTAAGCAAAGCGCGCATGAAGGCACCCTATTTTAACCTGCACAACGCAGTAGTGATACACGACCGCACACCGGTAAGATGCTCATCCAGATCTAAACAAGCAGGGGTGGGGATTTAATCCAGGATCCCTGCGATCAGCAGCGTGAGCTTTCGCTCGAAGTGCTCCGAGCTGGTGTGTGCTAGCCCGCATGGCCACCGATCCACACAAAGAGCGGAGCGCTACAAACATAATGCTGATACCATTCTAAGCGCGCGCTGACGAGAGCGTTCAGCAGCTTTGTATCGCACCGTCAGAACTGTTGCTCATGGCGGATGATAAGTGGCTGACGACACTTGGGCAGCGCTACATCAGCGCTTCGCTGCATGTAAGAACCGGTCTTTAAAGTCCCAAACACGCTTAAGGTCGCGTAATCAATCTCACGAAACGCCCATGGCTGAAGTGCTCGTGGCTGAAGCGATGGTGGCTGAAGCGTATTAAAACCGTTTATACTGAGAGAGTTTGGTCTTCTTAAGAAGATTTTGTCAGTCTGGCAACGAAAGCAGCCCAGTCTGACAACCCGGGCGAGGACTACTTCTTTCCGCCATTTGGTGGTTCTGACTTAGAGGAATTGAATGCGATTTCTCAGAAGTAAAGAAAAAAAAGGAGTAACGCCATTTTGTGTTAACGCGAAATTTGCTGTTTCTAGCGGGCAACAAGCCCCGCACATTGGCAAAACTCTCGGTATAAGCGGCTCTGAAGTGAATGTGACTGAAACGCCGGTCGCTTAAGCGCCCGTGGCTCTAGCGCCCTTTACTGAAGCGCCAGCCGCGCAAGCTGATAAGCTTCGGTCGCGGAAACCCCGGTAGCATAAGCGCCGGTCGCGCAAGCTAAGGTCACGTAAGCACGTATGCGCCGGTCGCGTAAGCGCTTAAACCCACATAGCTGAAGCGGACGTGACCTGACGTCTGTACCTACTGAAAAACCCAGTGTAATTTTTCGTTTCCTCCATTATGGAACTAGAAATTTATTTCAATTCTACCCGGATTACAAGTTTTCAGACACTATTGCTTTGTCAGCAATGTGGATTTCAGCTTACCCAAAATATAATTCCCGTTTCATGATCCAGAGAATGAAGTTATCTGAGTTTTTGGTAGGGTTGACGCCGTCCTCAACGTCATCCTCAAGATCGTCCTTGAGATCGCCCTAGAAGTTATCCTGAAGGTCGCCCTAGGCGTCGTCCTTGTCGACGTTTCTAGGATGTCATCCTCGACGTCGTCCTAGACGTCTTCATTTTCGGGTCGTCCTAGAAATCCTCCTTGACCTTTAGGACGTCCTGAATGTCGTCCTTAGAGGTTGCCCTTGAGGTCGTCCTAGACGACGTATTTCAATGTGTGCACGGCATTTTACGACAAGTTTATCATCATACAATTTACTTTAATAATTGTTTTCACTAACGGCGTTCCTACAGTTGGTACCGCATCTGATTGCGTTTGATCAAATGAATGTGCCTGTAATTTTATTTTATTAGCGACGCCGCTTTGGCTGCAAAAGCGTGGACAGTAGCTGGGATGCACGATGTCGATAGTGAAAATTGCAAGCAGAATCGGACCAAGTGAATCAGGCATAACAGGTCGGTGACGACTACTGGTAGCACTTATCAACATCTGCTTGTATCTCCTATTTACGCCTAGCCTAATTACCCCAAACAACCGTCAAATTAAAATGTTTTTTAAGCGTACACTTTGTTCTTATCGCAATGCTTGGGCTTCTCGCCACTGTCGTTTAAACGAGCAGTCGACAGTTTGAACGATCCAACTGCCGTTTGAACGTTAAGACACTCTGAACTTGGTCCTCGGGTGGTCCGGACAACTTGAAGGTCTCCCCGCGTCCATGTTGTAAAAAAAAAAAAAAAAAATCTGACGACCGTAAGTATTCGTCAATTTAACCTGAAAGGCTTCCCGTACAAGCAATCTTGTTCCGGCGGTGTCTGGCTTACCATTTTCACGGCACCTATCCACAATCTTGGAAGATCCGAGCGGGCAAAAAAATGCCTGACACATGTATCTTCACACAATTCCCGGCTGTTTTGGCACAGCCCCAGTCGCGGCGTTTCGAAGAGAAGGCAGCTTTCGCAGTGTTTTCTTTCAAAACAACAAAGGAATGCCCTTCCCGTACGCTGACACCCGCCCTCACACCCAGGCCGGAAGTGCGTACGAAGCGGCAACACCGCGGCGTGATGTAACGGAGTTAAGTTAGAGCATATATAAGCGCCATATTGCCGCGCGCAGGGCCGAGCAAGCAACGCTCGATCACGGAATACCAGAAGACTACCGTTTATTCTTACTCGGGGCGTAACTTTCATCATTACGTCTTAGTGTCTTGTTCTAGCAAGTGCCTCCTCATTCTCACCCCGAGCGCGCGACGCTCGAAGCTTTTTTGCCAAATTTTCGAGATAGTCACGCTCACTAGATAAGAAGCTGCGCGGGACCTCGTCGAGTCAGTCTTGCTCTCGCTCGCTGTTACGCCTCCAAATAGCCGTACCCTTTTCTGTTGCCTCAACGCTCGTTCTTTATTTTGTTTGGCACGAATTCGTCTATTAAACCTCTATCTTCAGTTCACTGTTTATACTTCTGTCGCCTTGATTCGTGGCATTTCTGGTAGATGTGCGGGGTAACGCAATCCCTGAAACGTACCCCTCCGAGGCCTCGCTGCCCAAGCCCAGTCCAAGGCTGAAGGACACCGTTCGTGGAAACGACTGAGACGCGTGGAAGTCGCCTTGCTCAAGGTTTGCCGCCCGAATTTTTTCTACTGCCGAAGTAGTCACCCCCCCCCCCCCCCCCCAAGTAGACGAAGCTGACGATGAGAAACGACACGTCGCAGACTCCCGCAATTGGATCCCTGTCGTTTACCTGGCCGTCGCCCCGCAAACCGACGACTGGGTTCAGCACTACGAAAGCTTGGCACCCCACAACGGATGGACAGCTGAACAGTGCCTCAAAAAACCCTACTTTTTCGTAGAGGGAACTGGGAGGCACTAGTTTGAGAACCATGAGGCTTCTCTTCCATCATCGGATACTTCCGACGCCAAACTCAAGAGGACTTTCACGAAGAAGCAATGACGACAGCGAGCGGAAGACCTCCTGCAAGTAAGGACTCAAGGCCTCAACGAAATGGTCACCAGCTTTGTTGAAGACGTCCTTCGCCTTAGCAGCCGCGACGATCCTCAGGCCACCTAGGAGACAAGGCTGTGCGTTCTGATGAGAGGCGTGAAGAACGACATCTTCGGCGGCCCTGTTCGCAACCCACCAGCCACTGTCGACGAATTCGTTGCCGAAGCAACGAATATCGAGCACGCACTGCCGGCACGTGAGAACCACTACAACTGACTCGCCAGCACTCCTGTTGCATCGACTCTGGAATTCCCCGATTCGACCATGGCAGCATCAGCGCTGACAACCTATGGAAAATTGTTCG